GAACTCCTTCTCAGCTTGGGAGACCCTGCTGGAAGATAAACCTCCGCTGTACTTCGCAGTTCGACACCCACAGCCACCTTTGCGCCACGATGAGGCGGTAGACCATCACGGAGGTTCTAAACCATTTGAAATCTCAAAATATTCAAATCCACTCCACCTTTTTCCACTACACTACTCTCCCATTTACCTTAGTACCGTGAGGGGAATATGAAGTTGATTAATCCACCCTTTCTACAGCTAATTTTAACAGTATGAGGGTCGGCCGATCGAGAATGCACGGCGATTGCGTTGCTGCACCCTTACAACGCTTACAAACGCCATAAGATTCGGCCGATCGAGAATGCACGGCGGTTGCGTTGCTGCATCGCAGTCAAATACCGTTTCGTCTGGAGTTCGGTACTCATCTTTCCGGCACACTTGCTGACGACTTCTCAGAACTTCAAAACAACCTGAAGAAAGAAAGCAAGTCAAAGCCGGAAGAAAAATATGCGGAAGGGATAGAGCCGAATGCCGCAACCGTCACGCATCCCATCGGCCGATTCTTATTGCGCTTATAAGCCAATCAAATTCTGCTGATCTTTATGAAGTATGGAGATGCCTTAAATCCTAGTTTTAGAAGAGCTCTCTGTTCGGGACCCGCATCCTCTACGATTCTTACAAAAGGCAAGAGTGGATGCAGTATTTGGATACCAAAACACGTTAACCCTTGCCGACGACACGCTATTCCAAGAAATTGCTGTGAGTTTTTGCAGCTTTGCTTTTCCGTGTTAATTTCCCGTCCTTTCCACCTTTGTAAAAAAATATTCATTTTTTTCCAGACGCATACCGACACACCCGTAATGCCGAGCACTGGCGGTTGCCCATTTATGTCTGGTGGAGCAGGAGGAGGAGCAATACATGAGGAGCTCTAGAGGCACTCTCGCCTACTGAGGTTACAATATCGGGTGGAAGGTTCAAGCAAAACGTGTATAATAGATGCAAATAAAGCTTTTCTTTTGAATCATGGAGACCATACGCAAAGCAAAATGATTTTCATCACAAATACACCCAATCCAGCGATAAAATTTATTTAAATCACATGTAATTTTATAAATTAATAAAATTGGCAATGTTTTTTCTTACTATCAAACCGACCACAAGAAGTCAAGCAAGATACTTTATAGACTACATGAGACTTACAATCAAAGAAACAGACTCAGTCGGCTCATGCTTACTTCTAGATCTTACACAAAAATGGGACTCGTAACTTACCGTAACATCAGCATTTTTAAGTTCTCTTCTAGTGAACCTTCACCACAACATTTCATTTTGCAGTGGGTCTTACTAGAAACTCTCTTAAAACATCGCCATAACGATTTAACAATAGATTAGCAAAACGAACGAACCAATGAATAAACGAACAGGAAATGTGGTGCGAAAAGATCAAATGAGTGAGTTTGTTTGTTACACAGTATAAACACATGAAGTACCCACATAATGGTCACTCATAGCTACTGCGACTGTGTACTTTCCTGAGCGACATACTCAACCAATAATTTCAGCAAAAAA